TTGGGTTTGTTCCTCAATATCAAAACAGCTCAGCAACATTAAGGAGTGGATCAGGTAATGTTTAGTTGAAACAATTTCCTTGTAGTTTTGCTCTGTATCAGCAATTTATTTTTTCAAAGCTAAGCCCCTTAGGAAAAGTGATTGGTACAGTGCTCAATCTTGCCTCGGCTGACTTTCTTGATATCACATGACATGACAATATTGGCTGTGGCAGGATCACACAAATTGGCCAATGCATTCCAATTACATTCAGTTAAGCTTATTTCACAAGTTTCTTGAGAATAGTCACTAAGTGCTGTTTTGTTTTGCTGGTAAACAAAAGCTTTTACAATGATAGCAGACTGACACCTTGTTGGTTGCCATGAAAACATCAATGTTAAGTGGCCCTGCTTTAAGATAGACCACCCCTTAGCTTATTGTTAAACAATAGCTGACCCACTCCTTAATACACCAAGGAGTGGATGCACAGTTCAGGGAACAAACATGGACAGTTGCAAATGAGCAGTCGCAACTTCACATTTCCATTTAACTACAAAAACTAAACTTTTACTCTCGTTTCTTGCAGTTGAATAAAAAGGCCAAACCACAAGGGGTTTGACAATGTTCACTCATTATATACACTATTTACACTGAACTGCATTACGTCATAGTAAACAGGTCCGTTTACGGTGCAAGTACTGAGAGGTTTAAGCCAGAAGTCATTTCAACAGCCCTCCCCCCAAGGTTTCAAAAAATCTAGACACAATGTCCATTATAGTGGAAATTGTTTTCTTCAAACTCAACCAAATCTGGGATAAAAAAAAAGATGCACTTGTTTAAATATGACTTGTTTTATACTTGAAGTGGATTTTCTAGTCTTCAGGAACATTAATAACAACATCACAGTAATTGTAAAACAAGTAATTTCTTTAATCACANGGTAAACAAAAGCTTTTACAATGATGTCAGACTGACACCTGGTTGGTTGCCATGAAAACATCAATGTCAAGTAGCCCTGCTTTAAGATAGGCCACATCTTTTTCTTATGGTTAAACAATAGCTGACCCACTCCTTAATACACCTGGGAGTTGATGCACAGTTGAGGGAACAAACATGGACAGTTGCAAATGAGCAGTCGCAACTTAACATTTCAATCTGATTACAAAAACTAAACTTTTACTCTTGGTCCTTGGAGTTGAATAAAAAGGCCAAACCACAAGGGGTTTTACAGTGTTCACTCAATATATACACTATTTACACTGAACTGCATTACGTCATAATAAACAAGTCCATTTATGGTGCAAGTACTGAGAAGTTTAGGCAATAAGTCATTTCTACAGCCTTCCCCCTAAGGTTTCAAAAAATCTAGACACAATATCCATTATAGTAGAAAATGTTTTCTTTAAAATCAACCAAACCTGGGATAAAAAAGATGCACTTGTTTAAATATGACTTGTTTTATACTTGAAGTGGATTTTCTAGTCTTCAGGAACATTAATAACAACATAGTAATTGTAAAACAAGTAATTTCTTTAATCACAATCCTTCCTCTGAGAATAGAATGGGCCTATGATTTTCATCAGTGATGTTGCTTAATAGGCCCTTTGCAGCTGGGGTCCCGTGACCAAATTTTTCCTAGAAAATTTTTATATTATGGGCTATAACTTAAAGAATGCCAGAAATGGAAAGAGCGCATTGAAAATACCTAAATGGCCAAATTTGAGGCCTCTGGAATTAAANTAGAAAATTTTTATATTATGGGCTATAACTTAAAGAATGCCAGAAATGGAAAGAGCGCATTGAAAATACCTAAATGGCCAAATTTGAGGCCTCTGGAATTAAACAGTAAGTTTGTATGACAGTTTGAATTTTCGGAAAATTTAGAGCGTTTGTATGGAAAATTTTGCTGGAGAGCAACGTCTTGCTCTCCAACAACGTTTTCCATACAAATCTTCTTATTGTTTTAAAAATTCAGACCGTCATAAAATCTCATTCTTTAATGATGGGGGCCTCAAACCTGGCCATTTTGATATTTTCGACATGCTTTTTCCATTTCTGGCATTCTTTAAGTTATAGCCCATAATTTTATGAAAAGTAAGTCACGGGATGGCTTAGCTGCAAAGGGCCTATAACATGGCTTAACCTGCAGATGACGACTATCACAGTGTTTACACCAGTTTGATTGAGCAATAACAATCTGACCGTTTTACGAAACAAATCTCAATTTTGTTCCTGGACTGAAAATCTCAATGAAAATATTTTAGCAAGATGCATCTGTTTTCTCCTCAGCACTGCTTCACCATGACAACGGACCTGTCTAAACCAAGTAACTCTGTTTCTGAAACGTTTTCGGAAACGGCCGCATTGGTTTCTGCGAGATGAATGGAACATCTGGCTCAATTTCTGATATAAAACATCCGTCATATACACTATTTACACTGAACACTTGGCTCAATTTCTGATTGAAAACTTCATTGATA